GTATTGAACTATTTTACTCTAAAGCATGCTACGATCAAAGCTACAGACCTACTTAAAGTGATTGCTAGTAAGAACATCATAAAAGAGTTCCCTCCCTTCTACCAGCTTATGTTCAATTCTTGGGACTCGTTAATGAACGGTAGCCGATCTCCCTTAGATAATTTGTATGATGTATCACTACAGCCTTTGTTTGATAATCCATTAATAAGACATGAAGGCAAACCAATTAAGTGTAAATATTTTAGTAAATATGGAATTAATACAATCTATGACATTATTTATTATGTTATCCCAGGCTTTTTACCTATAGGTGTTATAGTAGACGATTTTATAGAATCGGAATGTACACTCGATTATATTGTAAAGTTGCTGGAAATTATCAAATCTGCTATCCCTCACGATTGGGTACATATTATTGAAACGGAAGAGTATACTGCCAAATCTGCACCAGAGCCCCGCTGTATAATCAATCGTGAGGAACTCAAATTTGACAATTTCACATCTAAGACCTTATATGGTATACTAATTAAGAATAAGTGCACAGAACCGATTGGTTTTTTAAAGTGGAATACTATTTTTAAGAGTGTTAATTGGCCAATTGTCTGCATAAATACACATGAATCTCTTAAAGATGCTAAACAAATTGACCTCGATTATAAAATCCTGCATAATATTATATGGACAAGATCTAAACTATTAATGATTGGTAAAATTAATGATGATATCTGTCAGATATGTAATGAGGAATCAGAGGATCTAAATCATTTGTTATTTTCCTGTCTAGATCTCTCCCTCCTCCTTCATCTTTTGAACCTTTTGTTGTCGGATATTCTATCCAGAACTGTAACAGACGATGAATTACAATTATATATTTGTCTAGGCTTACAGACAAGAATTAAGGGTCAACCATTTAGGCTATGTAACATAATTTTAAGTGTAGCCCGTAAAACAATATTTCATAGAAGGCATATTGTAACAAACAATCCCAGATCCAATGTAGATATTATAAAATTATTTAAATACAACTTACGCCAAAGTTTATATTTCATTAAGTATTTCTATGGAAAAACAAAAAGAAATTTTATAAAAGACTTTGTGTCACCATCATGTCTAATCCTACTGGAAATAGATGGTTCGATTAGTTTAGATTTTTAATTACATATATAGATATATATACATGTCTCAGTTAAAATGCTCCATCTGAGCACTACATATTTCCATGTTAAAGATTTTGTTTTGAAAGTATCTTCACCTAAACTTTAGATTGATTTCGATTTCGAAATCTAAGGCTCTGGTATTTAGATACATTTCACAATATTAGTATTTTTTAAAAAAAAAAGATTCTTTTTATCTTTCATTGTACAAATACAAGTTTTTAAATTTGTAAATAATATTTCATTTAATAACCTACATATAATAATATGTAATATCTTTTAAAAGTATATTTCAATGTATTTAATTGCTATAAATACTGTATTGTGTATATCACTATAATTATGTTAATAAATCTTCCAAAGATAAAAAAAAAAAAAAAAAAAACTTGCCTGGCGACTTTGGGGTCCCGGGTTCGGGTCCCAGTTGAAGCTTTTTTAAAAATTCTTTTTTTGCCAAGTCAAACACCGTCTTTTCTATCATTTAAAGTATAAAAAAGGGGCCTGTGAACTCTAGAATGGCGTAACCCTAGGCTTAACCAAATCGTCCACTTTAACCCCTTTGGAGCCACTGGGGTATAACTTGTTTCGGGCCCATTTAACCCTGTGTTATTCTTTTTTCTGTACCATTTTGTGTTGAGAAGATGCGCAAGGAAGTGCTCTTTCATTTCATATGCGGAAACCATATCTTGGAACAAGCTTTAAGCCTTTCCTGAGCTAACCCTAATTGACTTTTCAAAACTAGGGTTAACCCTCGTTAACCCTAGGGTTAACCCTAGGGTTAACTCTCGCTAACCCCAGGTCTCGGTGGCCTAGTGGTTTGCGCACTTGCCTGGCGACTTTGGGGTCCCGGGTTCGGTTCCCAGTTGAAGCTTTTTTAAAAATTCTTTTTTTGCCAAGTCAAACACCGTCTTTTCTATCATTTAAAGTATAAAAAAGGGGCCTGTGAACTCTAGAATGGCGTAACCCTAGGCTTAACCAAATCGTCCACTTTAACCCCTTTGGAGCCACTGGGGTATAACTTGTTTCGGGCCCATTTAAACCCCTGTGTTACTCTTTTTTCTGTACCATTTTGTGTTGAGAAGATGCGCAAGGAAGTGCTCTTTCATTTCATATGCGGAAACCATATCTTGGAACAAGCTTTAAGCCTTTCCTGAGCTAACCCTAATTGACTTTTCAAAACTAGGGTTAACCCTCGTTAACCCTAGGGTTAACTCTCGCTAACCCCAGGTCTCGGTGGCCTAGTGGTTTGCGCACTTGCCTGGCGACTTTGGGGTCCCGGGTTCGGGTCCCAGTTGAAGCTTTTTTAAAAATTCTTTTTTTGCCAAGTCAAACACCGTCTTTTCTATCATTTAAAGTATAAAAAAGGGGCCTGTGAACTCTAGAATGGCGTAACCCTAGGTTTAACCAAATCGTCCACCTTTAACCCCTTTGGAGCCACCAGGGTATAACTTGTTTCGGGCCCATTTAAACCCCTGTGTTATTCTTTTTTCTGTACCATTTTGTGTTGAGAAGATGCGCAAGGAAGTGCTCTTTCATTTCATATGCGGAAACCATATCTTGGAACAAGCTTTAAGCCTTTCCTGAGCTAACCCTAATTGACTTTTCAAAACTAGGGTTAACCCTCGTTAACCCCGGGTTAACTCTCGCTAACCCCAGGTCTCGGTGGCCTAGTGGTTTGCGCACTTGCCTGGCGACTTTGGGGTCCCGGGTTCGGGTCCCAGTTGAAGCTTTTTTAAAAATTCTTTTTTTGCCAAGTCAAACACCGTCTTTTCTATCATTTAAAGTATAAAAAAGGGGCCTGTGAACTCTAGAATGGCGTAACCCTAGGCTTAACCAAATCGTCCACTTTAACCCCTTTGGAGCCACTGGGGTATAACTTGTTTCGGGCCCATTTAAACCCCTGTGTTATTCTTTTTTCTGTACCATTTTGTGTTGAGAAGATGCGCAAGGAAGTGCTCTTTCATTTCATATGCGGAAACCATATCTTGGAACAAGCTTTAAGCCTTTCCTGAGCTAACCCTAATTGACTTTTCAAAACTAGGGTTAACCCTCGTTAACCCTAGGGTTAACCCTAGGGTTAACTCTCGCTAACCCCAGGTCTCGGTGGCCTAGTGGTTTGCGCACTTGCCTGGCGACTTTGGGGTCCCGGGTTCGGGTCCCAGTTGAAGCTTTTTTAAAAATTCTTTTTTTGCCAAGTCAAACACCGTCTTTTCTATCATTTAAAGTATAAAAAAGGGGCCTGTGAACTCTAGAATGGCGTAACCCTAGGCTTAACCAAATCGTCCACTTTAACCCCTTTGGAGCCACTGGGGTATAACTTGTTTCGGGCCCATTTAAACCCCTGTGTTATTCTTTTTTCTGTACCATTTTGTGTTGAGAAGATGCGCATTTTAAGTATGCAAAAGAGGTCTGTGAAATCTAGCTAACCCTAATTGCCTATTTTAACCCCTTTGACAAACAAACTTCTTTACAACATACAATGGTAGTGTTTATTGCACAAATTTTACAAGTAAAAAATACTATATTTAGAATGACTTGTTAAGGGATTTCTACAACATAAATGGTTTATAACTAGCAATATTTCAAAGAGTGAAAAGAAAAAAGTAGTTACTCAATACACAATAACAAAAACAGTATTTGAATTTTTTTCTAAACAAAAATAATATTATAAAATTTTTTATACATCAATAATTTAAAAAAAGCCATGACATGTCAGCTTGGAATGGTGGAAATACAAAAATTCATTAATAATTAAACACAAACAATAGTATAAACAAAACAACACAAAATAAACATTAACAACCATATTGCATTTCAATAAACAACTAAATAATGTTCATGTCGGATACCAGTATAATATAATATATCTTCTCTCAAGGGAAAATTGAGATCAAATTTCACAGGTCGTTGACAAAAAAATAAATCAACAGCCCTGGTGACTAAACAAAAACATTAACAAGAAGGCCTTGAAAATAACTGTCGATAAAATAGTTATTTTCATTGTAGTAGACAAAATTTACTTTGAAAACGAAGATTCCCCTGATATGCACAAGTGAATTTTGCCCATTACATGTTTTATAGTTATTTTTTTTAATAACTGTCAGATTGCACCAGGTAAATGATCATATAACCAACAAGAAATCAAACTTAAATAAGATTACATAAGATAAAAAAAAATGATAATGAGCTAATATCAATAGTGAAACGGCAAAATATAAAAAGTAAGTGAGTAAGTAAGAGTCAAAACGAACCCTTAAAAATAGATTATAACAAATATAATAATGTTATGTGTAAAGAAAACATTGTAAAAGGATAAAATAAAAATAAAAATACAGGTAAAAAGTATCCACTTGGAGAAAAAAAAGGGTGTTTCAAAATAAATTCATAAAAGACAATCAATACATGTACTATAATCTACACAATGAATGAATACTGGAACGTAACAAATTGATGAAACATGGTGTAATTTAAGCTTTCGGATTTGATGATCTCAAAGACTAGATTAGAACAATTCACATTCAGACGACTACATAAACAATCTAGTCATTTTTACCTTGGTTTTGGTTCAAGAATGTCACAATAAATAAAATACAACACAATTCAACTATGAATATACAAACTTTGAAAATGGACTTTCCCAAAATTCAAACCAACCCTAGAGTTTATAGACTTGTTATCCATGATCTGACAAAATTCTTCATCATTATTGAAAACATATGAAACCGTCAAATCATCAAAGAGAAACACTTTCAATCATAATACATTAATATGATTGAAATGTAGATCTAGATATTAGGTTTCATGATTTTGTATTAGTTGTTAACTATGACCTGACCATTATCATGACTAAAATCTTTGGAAACCCTGACTGAAGAGAGTGGGAGAAGATTCATGCTGCGTTTTACGATTAACCAGATGAACTATAATCAAGATAGCAAGTCCAGCAACAAGACCTCCAATAACTGGAGGAACCAGACTACGTTTATTGTACTTCTCAACCTCCTCTCTCCTCCATATTTTATACATTGATTCTTTACAGCTGTATCTATCTCCTATTACACTCTCTGTAATAAGAAATGATCTTGATTATTTGTGGTTTAGAAATATCATGTAGGTAGAGTAGCTCCCCTTTAAGCTTACAGCAACTGTTAAATTAATTGAGGCTTTTTGCAAAATTTGGTCCTATAGATGTTCCAAACTCCTCTCGAAAATTCAGTAGAAATATTTCCGATAGGAGTGGTCTCCCTCAAGGCCTGAAACAAACACTATCGGAAGATAACAAAAAACTTTGGCTGTGAATATTTGAAAGAAACAAAATGGTATATGTTTAAAAAAACTATTGAAATAAAATTCCTGATTTTATTGAAAACAGGCTGGATACTTTACTTACCATCTTCTATAGTACTGATGGCTACTTTAAACGGAGGCCGAAGATCACATTGAGGGAAAGAGGCAAAGTAGGATGATCCTGATGGTAATCTATATGTTAACATCCATGTTATATTGTCAGTTGTCTTTCCAAATAATTCTCTACTCTTCTTCATATTACAGGACTCAAAATCTTCCTGAAAAAATATCAGTAAGCCTATTGGTTAACAGAACAGATTTGTCAGCTCATAATTTCTTTTTAAAAGGATTAAATTTCAGCAGATATTTTTTCATTCTGATATTAATCCCACCTCACCACCATATCTTTTATTTACAAATAAATTTGAACTAACCTGTGAATTTAGTAAATAAACTGTAGTATTACTATTGTAAATGAAAACTAAGCTATCGCCATATAAAGCATGAAGTCTTTTAAACGGTGCAGATTCTACAGACCAATTCTCCTTCTTTTCTCCAACAAAAAATTTCTGAAAATTTGATTACCAAAACATCCATGAAAACAAACCTATTTCAAAAATATTTTTGAAACTTACATTTGGTTATGTAGTTGATAGGAATTCCCATTTTTTTATGGAATGAGAGGTATCGTGAAGATTCAAACTATAATAGGTTAAACACATACATTGAAAAATGAGGATAGTTCAAAATATAGGAATACAAACGAACTTCAAACCTACCTTAGGTTGTACACACTGATTGCGTTCAATAATTGGTAGATTACCAGTAAGTGGTGTAGTACCTAATCCAGGATTAGTAACATATAGTTTAAATCTACCCAATCTTAATGCATCTATAAGATCTGGTGATGTCTGGGGAAGTTCACCCTAAATAGTAATAAAAATAGTCTATTAAGAAAAATATGATGACTTCTATCCACAAGATAGCAAAATCAAGGAGGTAGACTTGTAATAAGTCAATCAAATATCTTTGATCATTAAAGATGGAAATGATTGAAAGAGCCAGTTTTATGTGGAATACATATTGATCCATATTTTGACATTAGGAGAAACACAATACCTTAGCTTGAAAAACTTTATTTTCCGTGAGAGATCGATGTAGATTGATACTCAATATCAAATGATTTTCATCTTTTAAAGTTGCTACCAGTAAACCTCGTTTTGTTACGTCACCAATATAGATACTGTTGATAAAATACAGAGCATAGTAGAATCAATTCTTGAAGATTATGCAAACTGTGAGAAATTGAAACCATGTATTACAAGAAAGGGAAATAGGACAATTATCATTTCTTTGGCGTGCATTTGTCCAGTGAGCAACTGTCTGATTAGCAACAGTCCTTACCCCTATTGGGCTGATTCAACTCCAAAATCTTGTATAAATGTAAAGTATTTTGATCTACCCACCTATATTGTAATACTTTAGCCCTATTCAATACAAAACTAGCCAGACCAGTTGGTGGTAGAAAAGTTTCTATTTCATCTGAGGGTTGTCCTCCTGGTGTTAAAGACACAATTGGACCTACATAAGGAAATTAATTAAGACTTTAATCCTATCCATTAATTACAAATCAAAGTCTGATAAATTTAGCAAAAGTGGCCCACACTTAAAATATACACAGAACACAGATAGATATGGAGCCCTGAAATATTAATTTAGATGAAATCTTTTCCCTCACGCTTCAGGTCTGACCTTTTTTTGAAGGGTTGGCACCAACAAGTATACCTTCCAGCCTTGAAAAAACCTGACCTATATGAAATGAAATTAACTTACAATGAAAGTGCTTTACATCATTACAGTACCACTTTCCAGGTTCAGTTAGCTAGTTAAAAAAGAATTAAACACAGATAAAAAAGATAGTTGGAAAATAGTAGGCCAATGAAAGTCCAAAATTTTATTGAAGAGTATACCTTACGCAACTGGAAAAGAAAACTTCTAACAAAATTTCTCCCATATAGAATAAAAATTACAAAAGGAATAACTCTTACCTTTCCAATGATTTCTGTAAAGGAAGAATTGTCATGTTGACATCTCATATTTAACATGGCTTGATTATTCCATAGATAGAGAATATCATCACTTGATAGATCCTACAAGCAAAATAAAATAAGAGTCTTACATCCTACTGAATGAAGACAATGCACAAAGCCAAACAGTGTGCGATGAGAGAAATTTTGTTCAGACAGTGCACAATCTATCAATGGATTTTTAATGTACACAGTGTCCACGTACTTACATGAATATAGCCTTCAGCAATATAATGATTATGTTGACGTCGAATTTGAGACGTTAAATTTTTAATGATTTCCTTTTCTCGACCACCTTGTAAAGTTAACCACTGTTTATCACAATCTAGATTGTTCATCTGAAGAATAAAATTGTCCTGATGATGGTCTTAGTATTTGTAACATGTTGATATCATAAGAAGTTGTTAAAATAATTTCTAATTAAGTTTGAGACTATTCAGGTCAAAATGGTAACTTCAAATCTATGAACCAAGATTGCTTTTCTCAGAGGTTGAAGGACTAATAATTGAATGAACTGTGTATATAAACTAGTGTCCAAAAGAAACGATACCGACTTATTTTCAAAACTGTTTTTTACTAAGTGAATTGTCTAATATGAAAACATGCCAATTCGTATTGCACATCCCAAACACAACATAGTCGATAAAAATACCGGGAACACGTGATCACTTCCGGGAAAAAACGTAAATTTCATGAAAGTGACATTTCCCTCTCTAGCATGTTCTGCATAAAAACTGTATATAACGGCTGATCAGACACGTTGATATCACAGCAACAAAAAGAACACAAGGTATGCCACGTTTGACAGCCATCGAGAGAGAGAGAGCCGTTGGAATGGTCCAACAAGGAGCGACACACGTCGACGTCGCCAGAAGGTTGGGCTGCGCACGCATCACTATCACCAGGTTGATGCAGCGGTTACGTCAGACAGGTCAGACGTCAGACAGGCCCAGGAGTGGAAGACCACGAGTAACCACGCCCCGTGAAGATCGTTACATTCGGGTATTACACCTGAGGAAACGCACCGTAACAGCGACGTCCACGGCAGCTACAGCACTGGGACACAGGATCAGTCGACAGACCGTCTACAGGAGACTACGGCAGTATGGTATCCGGCCACGTCATCCCTACCGCAGAACGCTCCTGACGCCTCGACACCGGAACAACAGACTGATCTGGGCCAGGCGAGTTCGACGTTGGCAACGGCGGGACTGGGCACGTGTTATGTTCTCTGATGAGAGCAGATTCCTCATCTTCAAAAACGATGGACGGCAGCTTGTATACCGACGATTTGGTGAACGTTTGACGCCTAACTGTATCCAACAGGTCCGGCTGTTTGGAGGTGGAGGGTTAATGGTTTGGGGTGGCATATGTGGTGACGTCAAAACGAGGCTTGTCGTAATTCGTGGAAACCTGAATGCACAGCGTTATATTGATGACATCCTACGGCCTGTTGTGGTGCCCTTTATTCAGCAACAGCCTCGTGGACTCATTTTCCAACATGACAATGCAAGGCCACACACAGCAAGATTGACACAGAACTTCCTTGCCAACGCCAACGTACAGGTTTTGCCATGGCCCGCATGTTCACCGGACATGAATCCCATCGAGCACTTATGGGACCACCTCGATCGGCAAATCCGACGTCGCCGTGTGCCTCCAGTCAACGTCCAGGACTTGGAACGATGTCTCCTCGAGGAATGGCAACGCCTCACTCCCAACGTCATCATACGTTTGACAGCACCAGTCCGTAGGCGTGTTCTGGCATGTATTGATGCTCACGGTGGACATACCCGCTACTGACTTGACTTTGTGACGTGTGGTGTGACATTTCCCGTTGTTTCTGTGATCAGTGCTCTAACGAAATGTTCTTTTTTCGACCCCACCCATCTTTAAAGGCTTGTCATATTGGTTGTACAGATTTTATTGAAATGAAATTTTTGTACAGATGTTGTGAAAGGATTTCTCAAAAGCATAACACCAATCCTAAACTTCTGCATTGTTTAGTTTTTCTTTTATGTCGTTGCAAACAGGTGGTATCGTTTCTTTTGGACACTAGTTTAGTTTCACAATATCAATCTATTACGAACCTTGTACTTTTACCTTGACTGCAATAGCCACCGTTCTTATATCACAGAATGCAGCAATTTGATCACAGCTCTTGACAGAAAGGCTGTCAACATCAACATTGTGGCTTTATGTTCACAGACTTTCTGCCAAAATCGCTTTATGAAACAAGAAAGGTGACTATTGCAGTCAAGGTATAAGTATAAAGTTTGTATTAGCTTGACATTGTGAACATGAACTATATCAGGAAAGAACATTCTTAACAATTAAAAAACAGCTTTTCAGCCTACATCAACCAAACCCAAGACTTCCTTCTTTAAAGTAGTTCCAAAGATTAAGATGTCCGTCAGATCAGCACTAACATCTGAGCTGGCCTGCTAGTCATTTGTAGAAATCAAATCAAAGGTAGCATTAATGGACCAAACCTAAGATTAACCTAGTCATTGCAGGTCTAAAGCAAGTAAAGAAATAAAAGTTACATACCAATATTGAGTATTTTAACCACATACCATGAGTGAACTGAAAGATAGCTAAACCATGTGGGCTGGTTATATCTCCCATAAACGACTGAAATAGATCAAATATCAACATATGATTAAATTACCTGGAATTCAAAATCCCACAAAAAATGTATTAAATGGCTTAAGTTTCAAAGTAAAAAAAAACTGGAAAGTCACTGTAAGACCATCTTCATATGTCCAGGGTTTTGAACAATAAAGCTAATAAACCTTCAACTTACATAAATTCCTTCTTCAATAGATCCCTGTATTGTCTGAGTTTCATTGACTAGAATTTCTACCGATTTTATAAACCTGACTGAAATAACACATAATAAACTTATTCTCGTTTCATTTTGGAACCATCAAATGTGAGGTTCATAATGCAAATTTTTTTCAATCTCCAGGAAATTTATCATACCAATACTATCCAAGCCTATCTATATATCTATGTTTTGTATTCGACATTCCCAAATCCCTCGTCGGACTCCACTTAAAACATACACTTAGTCCATAATCATGTTGGGCGAGTTCATTTTCAAAATTAGGGAATTTATGAATTCAAACCAAAGTCTGTTAGAAATCAGACTTACCTGTGCCCATTCTCTCATTGATGAATTCACTGTCATACAAACTAGTAAATAAATAACCATTTGTATATCTCTGTAGAGGCACAGAGATTCTTGAGGGCTCTGTAATGAAAGGCATTTAAACGCATAGGTGATAAACAGGCAATAAATAGAATTACTTCTCTTGTTATTACAAAATTCATCTTATTTTACTATATCACAGCAGATTGTGAATGCAGTGATTTGATTAGATTGAACACAAAAGAATACAGACAATCACAATTGTCGACAGGCAGTCTCTACACATCAAACCATAATGTTTACAGTCTGTCTATCAAGGGCTATGATTGGCTGTATTCGCTGGCATACAATCCAATCAAATCGCTGCATTCTGTGATACAAAAAAGGTGGCCATTGCAGTCAAGGTATGAGACAAAATTCACAATACCTTGACCATCGTGAAGAGTACAATACCTATACTTACCCATCAGTTGACCAGTAAGTAAAGACAGAGCTGAAATATGAGTATAAGTTGGACAGAGTTTCAGCATGACGTGTATAGTTGAATCTAATAATGTAACTGCTAATATACCCACTGTATCTTTTACACTGTCAGACATATACAGTCTCGACTGAAAAATATATTATATACTTTCCATCATACATGCCTCTAACCACACATCCCTAAACAAACCTTGTGAACTTGTCTTGAAGTGTCATCATGAAAGCAAATTCTACTTGAACACTTCAGTAGGGACATGGGCTGAAATAGGTCAGTTGTCGGAAAATCGCACAGCTTGAAGCTCTGAGTAACACCATGTTTCAGGTTCTGTTTTAATATTTCTATATCATTGATGTATTGTGCACTACTATAACAGTGAAAATATTTAGTTAATGTAATATAATAATAATAATTCCTATTTAGTTCTTAAATATATATTCATTGCTGTTTTAAAAGAGAAAGAAAGATAACTGGAATAATTTAGACATATGTTCCTTGACATCAAAATCTTAATCCAAGAAATTAAGATGGATAATTTGTAACTGTTAATTTAAGCTTTAATTTTGCAGTAACCTTCAGGTAATCTCCAAATTATTTAAAATACAAAATGAAGTTGAGAATCCTGTCACAAACCCATGTATTACAACTTACAATAAAATGCCTAGCAGTAGGAGCACATGGTCCAACAGGATAATTAGCAGCAGGGTATTCAGCCTGTTTGCCAATAAAAGGGCGTGAAAACAGCCAACCCTGTACACTATATTTAGTAGCCAGATGCTCGTAACGGCCCTCATCTCTTTCCTGAAACACAAATATTTAATAATGCAGAACACAGATTCTGTTGAATAATATATAACTATACTATACATATTTTTAGCTAGCTAGACAAATTTGGCCCTACCCATTCCTCAGAGTTGGTACAGAGGTGATTTCAGCATGTTTAGGGCCAGACACATTTTATGGGATTTGCTCCAATCAAATTTCTAACCTTGAGTTATGTAAAATTTGACAAAAAAAGCTGAACCATTAAAGAGTCCATCAAGACATTACCAAATATCATGGGTGAAACTACTTCTAATACCTTGACTACATTAGCCACATTGTATCATCGCCCCTGATTACACTTGCAGCAAAATGTTTAAGCCTTTCAGTCAAGGGCTCTGATAGGTTGTATTCCAAGCTACAATAATATCGAATCAATGCATTTATAAACTTCAGTGTTACAAGTAACATGGCTATTGCAGTACCCTCCCCTAACTAAAAAATAAAATCAATAGGACCTCTTAATATCACCCACCTCATGTTTTAACTGTAACTGTCCAATATAATCAGCATCATCTGTAAATACATTGAGGTATATCTCTCCAGCCATCAATAACTGGGTAATATTAGATGGTATATTGTGAAACGGAATGTTAATATTGTGAGGGGTGTAGTACCCTGGAACAATGGGTGAGGAATAAATGATGTCATATTCTACAGGATTAGATGTAGAGTTTTCTAGAATTGATAGGGCCACTTTCATTAAACCATCACTGAAGAAAAAAAATGAAAAGAAAACATTAAGCGGAGTTAAGAGTCTTTATTGAGTTGAATTCCTATCACAAGTCCAAATCACAATCCATAAGTCTTGGTCCAAAAGCCAACAATAAATCTTAGAAACAACATTATGCCCGATACACATTTTGTATATTATGCCAATTGTTGACTTTTGATTCAAGACTTCACGGCAGCCTGAACATAATGCAAAGTGACATTATAAGATAATTTTCAGGAATTCAGGGTACAAGGAATCCAAGGAAATGGAACCTTCTTCCTATTTCACTGACCTGAAATGTTTTCTAGGTAGTCCAGCAGTAACTGTATTACGAATAACATCATACACGGCTGTACCAAGAACACTATAACTTTTAGCAGCAGTTGATAATTCAGCCTGACAAAAATAAATTAAAATAACACAAATAATCATCATTCATCTAATGGTGTCTGATGCAAAAATTTATCAACCTTATCAATATCTTAGCAAAGCCTTGTCAGTTGACTTAAAATGGCCTATTGTGTTAATAATCTCTAATATGTCATATGTTCATGTTCATGTTCTCTTTACCTATGTATATGATGATTTCCTTTGGACAAAAATGACATACCTTAAAATATTTTCTGGGTCGATATGGCCAGGGTCCTAATAAATTAGAGGCATATTTTTCACATGATTCCATCCCTTTTCCTTGACCAGAAACAGTAGGTCTGAAAATTTAACAAAATATTTCAAAACTGAAATATATATAAAAGAAGCTAGCTGCAATTAACCTACAAATGTTTGAAAAGTAATGCAAAGCTATCACGAAATTACGAAATGAAGCGATTTGATTTATTTGTACAATAGCGAATTCAGCCAATGACAGGCCTCAGAAAGTCGAGTTGTTAGTCATTAGATTCAATCAAATCTCTGCATTCCGTGATATGAGAATAGTGGTCATTACAGTCTTGGTATAAGTCAATGTGTATGTGTATGTGATCATCAGAAGGGTAGCTAAAATCATATCCGTATAAAACTTTAAGAGGAAAAGAATAAATTCACAGCTGATACACACCTGATTCGGACATTAGAACAACTATAATAAACATGGCAGGTATTGGTACCATTATTTTGATCTTTACACACTTTCTCTGGTAAGTAAAAGAAAACAAAAAACATAAATTTATACCCCCAAAAAATATCATTTACTTTGTGTCTACAATAGTCTACATCTAAACAGTTTTCTACCAAAGGTTTATCCAAATGGTAATATTTTGCAAATTCATATATAGATAGCAAATTCTATCATACCTTTATTTTGTTCATCAAAAATGACTGATCTGATTTTCAGGTAACATCTATGACACACTATATCAGGAATATTGACAGTAATGTAGTAGGTACTGCCTTCACACTCTCCAATAGGATACCCCTCTGTCTGTAATAATAATATTAATACATCAGTCTTAAACAAAGGTTAAATATCACAATCAATAGACAGTCACATAGTTGACAATGCTGATATCAATAAATAATGAAGAAAAGAGAGCAAAAAAAGCAAAAGTAGTTGAAACTCTTTTTGTTTGTATTTTTAGATATAACTTTGGCTATCCTTCTGATTAGTAGAAAATTGCAGCACTATACATTTACACTATTACAACTACAAAAATATTAAAAAAATGTGGCAACTTACATGACAAGTTCTAGAAATATGACCACGATTTTTATGGGGTATGTGGTCTAATAGTAAACACACAGTAGAATTATTCTCATAATCATGTAAGCTGATACTCAATGGAGAATCTGAAACATATAACAGATTAAAATACAATGCATTCTAAATCATTTATATTAATATAGGACTTGTAAAGGTATTAGAAACTAACTATTTACCAAACATCTATGACATTGAAACACAGTTACAGTAAGATACTAGGCTAGAGTAGTGTCTTGTTACCCACAAAACATAGTTAAGAAAAAGTCTGATTGGGAAAAACAAATTTTGGGAAAAACAAATTTTCAGTATCAAATATGTCGAAAAAGCTTAATATTATACCTGAAAATATTTCTAAAATATGTTATTTACATCTAAGTATCTACTTGATCAAACTGAATTTATTCTAAATGGGTAAATCAAATACAGAGTATAGTATTCATGAATTAAAGCAAAAATTTTTTACCTACTAAAACATTGTAATGCCCCTTTAAAACAGGATGTGTTCGAAAATGGACGTTTCAAAGCCTGCTGCAGACTTGCAGTGGTATTTTAGCAGGTGATTAATCATAACTTACAATTCTCATTTTTGGTTTCTTCAAAACGTACAGTCATAGGACCAGGCGTTATTATCTTATATTCTGTTTCAAATCGAAATGATGAATCTTGTCCACAATCACCATCAGAGATTAGACTTGAAGACAACTAAAAAAATTCAATTAATAAAATAATCCTTTCACCAAATATTCATTTTATCAAATATTTTGTTATTATAATTATGTTAATCAAGACATAAAAAAGGATTGAAAACAGGTAAACTTCTGGCACAAGATGTGTATGCACCATTGTATGGGGGGTTAGGCCTACTTATTTATTCTGATGCAGGTCTTCCTTCAAGAGCGGAAGTGATTAGTGCAAATGGTTTTTACTAGTCAACAACCTCCTCTCGCTTCATTTTTAAATCATTATGGCAACCCATCTATGTCTCTGCCCCACGCACACCTCTCCCCCCCCCCCACTCTTTTTTCACAGACTGGTTAGATTTCATTTAAAATTAAATGATTTACCGTTTGCTTTAAGTCTGAGCGAGATGTTACCGGTCTGGGACAAACAAATCGCAACTTGCATACAACCAGCGACATGCAGCTCATGCAAAGCACAAATGCAAAAACCAAATTCAAGTATTTTGTCATTTTTCAAATTAAAATCTCAATCATTTAATTTTCGTCTTTTTTTATTTTCCATTTTAATTATTCCGGAAGTTTACATCTGAATTACACATGCGCATCTCGAACACAAAAGACCTCCAGATCCCAGACCACAAATAAGATCCTTTTTCCTCCGTCGCACGGACATTTTATTAAAGTTGGAGTAACTGTCGTTTTTTTAATATCATAGACCTATACACATATTACCCATATATAATGTGTATCAAGAGTTACAGTTATAAATCGATAGTTGAACACGGTCAAATGCATCAACACTGCCACTGGACATCTAACAACTGTTCGCATCTGACTCAATCTGAGTCAATCGATCCGAGCAAAGGCGTAAGTTAAGACATAAGTTAATGAACTGCATGATAATCGGTGTTAAAATAGCTGAGTTCAGGAGTTCGGTGGATTATCTTGAGACGATCATTGGGGATTAAGTAGTACGCACGGCCGGATACGTCCAGTTAGGCCCAGCAAATGTACAGAAAGCACAGTGCAGTGAACATGGCTATGTCATTGATTTCTATCTTGAATAATCCAGGTTACTCGGACAACATTTTAAAGACTTGGATCAATTTCATTGAAACTCAGACATTTCTATAAAATCTTATCCAATTCATTAAGCAGGAGAGCAGAGTTAAACTAAATGTAAACCGATGAGGAACAGCCCAATAGCCTTTATATAGGCCCACTGTGTATGTAAAGAATTAGACCATGACTGCATGCATGGCTCTAAACCATAATTATTAAATGAAAAATGCTACTAAATCACAAGGGGAAACGTAGAAGCACCAAGAGTCATTGTGGTTCCTCGTATCTATGCATTTTCAAAAAATATATTACCAACTTTAAAACTACAGAGGTGGGGGAGCATTCTCTGGGAGGAACACAACTTAAATGACATTCTTAAAATAACTTGAAAGAGACAGACGCCACCTAGCGGGGAATTACCTTTCACACATCCGCCATCTTTACAACTTTGTAAACATAGGAATTCCTTGCTGTTCCCGTATTTTCGATCTTGTTTGAAAGCAATGTGCTTGCTTCCTATTCTAATTTCGTAGGGGTTTTGACAAGAAAACAAAGTTAATTATTTCAAGGTGAAATTTATGATTTGATTTTGTGTTATCAGAAAATGTAGATCTATTCTGCAAGTGTCATACGATGATACGTAGTCGTTGAGTTTTTCGATCACATCAGACACATTCAGTATCAGTATCTGAGTACCGTACTCAATAAAGTCACTATCTATGTAGTTTCTTTACTTGGTCTTCAGCTTCAGCTCTCTTTATAATAACGAAATGTACAAATTTTGTGGGAACAGTTTGAAAAATTCATATTTTCCTTTTTATAGAATTAGCCATGGAGTGGGAGAGTCAACAACGTGAAAGAGTCAGCACTCCGTCTACTCCAAACAGCATGTCTAGCCACTCGACTAGTTCCTCACGACCACCGACATTTAAAACATTACAGCCCAGTCCATCAGTAGTGGCTCTCAGTAAACTCTCAGATGATGATCTTCGACGTAAAGGTATGGAAGATTTGATCCGAATTATTCGACGTATGGAACATGATTATAAATCCTTGATGGGTGAACAAGGACATATGGTGAAAGATGTCACAAGGAAGATGCAGATTTACTTGATGGAAATTCGTGGATTGAAAGAAAATAATCAGAAGGTTCAGGAAGAGTGTCAAGAATTGAGAGATCTTTGTTGTTTTTTGGATGATGATCGTCAGCGTGGTAGGAAGTTGGCACGAGAGTGGCAGCGTTTTGGGCGATATACTGCCAGCGTGATGAGAAGTGAAGTTGCTGTCTATCAGGATAAATTAAAAGAACTAGAACAGAAACAAGAGGAGTTGATTTTGCAAAATACAGAGCTGAAAGAACTCTGCCTTTATTTGGACCAGGAAAGAGTCCATATGACAGGTAAGTTTTAAAACTTTTTTTTTCATTTGTAAAAAGATATAAACACCAAATGAGCTCATGACTATTAAATATTTATCAGAATGATAAACAAACTTAAATGTTGATTTTTTCAGGTGATCGAGATGACGGGGATGGAAGTAGTTCTGGAACAATGGCTGGTATAGAAGATGGACATCCTTTAGATCAAGACAGACAACAGACACCAACTCAAGCCATGACTAATTCAAGTAAGTAAAGCAGACATCATAGTAAAGGTAATTGTGCTCAAGATATAACACATACAGTTCAGTACATTTTTAGAAAGTTGTAAGTGGTAATGGACACTAGTTTGATGTGTAAGCTTATAGTTTCAATTTCTATGTATTCTATCTCAAAATGAAACGCATCAGGCTTTTCAATAGAATGGGCACCACCTCTATAAAATTGTGTATTTATATTCAGTTCCAGATCAGACAGTACAGTATATCAGACAACTGGAAGATAAGTTAAAAAGTCTTGAAGAAGAGAGAAAACAACTAGCAAAAGTCAGTTTAGCTTTATTTCACCATCATTGTTAGATAGAAGTTATCCATTTGATATAATCTTTACCCTTTTTTCGAGTTGGGTCCTTCTTTCTGCACTAGTTTAGGCTTATGACAACTAAACCAAGGAATATACAGTAAAATTTGTACCACCTTTCAGCCACCAAAAATGCCACCATGCAATCTCAACCAAAATTACCTCTTTTAAAGGCAGTTCGCAGCCTCTCTGAACCTGTGTCACCCTCCAATCTACAGCAAAATTGGGATAATCCAAGCACATGCAAATGATTGAAATGAGGATTTGCTTTCAAACTGACACCATTTCTCAGATATTTCTCAAATATAGGATACTTAGAATGAATGTCTATCTATTTATTGTAGAGAGTAGAAAGGAATGGAGGGGATGGTTTTCGTCAAACTGATCGTAACGGTACAACAAATATGAAACCAGAACATTTACAGGTTTGTTTGAATATCTAAATCCCCTTATGTTATCTATTTTGTTGATAGTCTGCATGATCAGCCAATTTCAGAGTCAATTTGACAATTTCTCACTCCTGTTGAAGGAGTTTGTTTATTACAATAGCCAAGCAATGTCATGTCAGATTCTTTTTCCCTTAGATTTTTTTTTACCTTTTTACATGAGTATTTGCATGAGTGGTGTTAATTTAACAGTTGATATGAACCCTTGTGAACCCCTGTATATTATAAACATTGTAGGATAGAAGATCTGATGCTAGCCCTAATAATTCCAACCCTGTCAATGCATCAAAACCAGAGGCTATAGTCCATGCCATGAAGGTCTGATTTTTTTTCAGTTTTTTTTTCATTTTGAATCATTCAAGCTCTGTTGATCTTGTAATAAATTCAGTTAGCAATTGGCAGACTTGGCAGATTTTGTACAGTAATGATATCAATTACTAGTGCATGTGTATATTTTATGTCTCAACCGATCTGCATGTCCCATTGTGTGTTTGTTTGTTGATTGTTTTGTGCTTGTACTGGACCTTAAAATATCTATTGAAATTGTGGTCTGTAGTCAAAAGAAGAATATGCATGATAAAATTTAGGTTATATCATTAAAGACACAGTAGCAAGTTTGATCAGAAGATTACATATTTCTTATCATTCATTACTAAACTTACATCATGTGTCCCTTTTTTATTAGATGTTTGATATTGTATTACAGGTATTACAGGTACACGAACAATTAGAAAGGGCTAGGAATGAACCAGGAGAAGATAACTTAGATGAAAAGGAAATGGCTATTGTAAGAGAGATGTGCAATGTAAGTCAGTAGATGAGTAGATAAACTATAAAACCTCTTGTCAAAGATCTTCAATCAATTTTCTGTACCAATTTACTTTTGCCTTGAGATGTATTCCTAAATTAAAATTGATAATCAAAGTATTATTAATTTCTTCCTTATGTGTAGAGCCAAGCATCAATAAATCATGTGTTATAGTCAAGGTGGTGATCAACTTATAGAACTTTTAGGAACGCTGATAGCATGCTGCAACAAAGTTGGTCAACTTAGCATCTACATCAAACGGTCCTCATCTGATCATTTCTGAATTTTTTTTAGGTGGTATGGAGAAAACTAGGGGATAATAATAAACCAGAGAATACAGGCTCCAGGACAGGATATCAAGCCCCACCCCCACAGCCACCCAGACAGCCCCCACCTTACAGCGCTGCCGTGAGACCACAGAGTTCACAGAATCAACCAGTCCAACAGCCTAACACAGCTTACTTACAGAATCGACAGTTTCAACATCATCAGCATGGCAACCACCCAGATCAACATTCATACCCTCCCCCAGCCCCCCATCAATCAACTCATCATTATTCCAATCAACTTGGTCCCCCTGCCCCACCAACTTCATTTCAAAACCAGTCTGGTCCCCCTTCATCATCATATCATCAA